CGAGTAAATGTTATAAATGAGCGGCATATTGTAGGACATCCTCGCCGCTTCCACCCACTCGGTAGCGAGCATCAACACCAGTAAATATCAAGTGAGCAAAAGCAAAAAAATTTAAGAAACTCCTGCCCTTAATGAATCAAACCGGACGGAGTCAACATTGATTATGAAACTTTATCAGTCTCTACCCCATTTCTCGGGCAGCTTCAGATCCTATAAGCTTGCGAGTATATTTTAAGCCACGGTGCGTCAACGCGAAAATACGCGCGGTTTATACTCGTGGAAATTCACTCGAGCGACATGCATTCATCAATCACCACATTTTCGAGCGCATTCCATTATGTCGCTTTTGCGCATCTTCTAGTATCTTCCATAATGACTTAGCTCTTTAAAACAATTGTTAGGCAATTCCTTGGTGCTCGATAGATAGATGGGGAAGGTCATTAGCGCCATAACTTCTGCACATTCACCTGCATATCCATAAGCCAAGCTGTTTACTTCTATTCCAAAATTTTTCATAAGTAGATAAATTCGAAATCAGGTAAGCTTGAAAAAACGCGGTGGAATAGAGCGTCAAAAAGTTGTGTTGTACCTGTAGGTGATATTTGCAGATTAATACCCAACAAATGGGCATTCGCTTATGTCGCCCTGGGACCAGCACAGTATTTTGGTCCAACGGCATGCTACTTAGGCTATTGTGTAGTATTACATGCACTATTCTACACTTTTCTATCATATCCACTCTCATTCGGCTATCGTTATCATATACTGGTTCGACCAATGCCAACAATCAGACGATGCATAATCATATGCTTGGCGCTGTGGCTCATTGCATTTGCTCAACACGTGAGTTGAACTCCGATAAAAACTACTTCAATAATCAACCTAATGTGAACTTGTGCTGGACAATACTGCAGACCAACGCTTTCACTAGGGAAGGGTCATAGGTGGTAGTGGCCATACAATGAGACATGTACCATGGGAATGTTTTGAGGAAACATCTCAAATCCGCTTTCCGAATCTGCCAATAGATTAAATAGACGTAGTTATGAAACAACGGTAGCAGGTCGAAATCACGCACGAGGGCTCCTTTACGTGTTCTCTGTTTTGCGTTCGCTGATAATGACTTCTAACCACGTTGCGTGATCAAAGCTCACCTATGATATTATATAATCAGTATGATATAATAAAATTACCTGTACAAAGAGTTTGCGAGGAGCTTCTAACAAGTTCAACGAGCTTATTGCTAATCTCTACAAGTCTGCAAATCGCTCCTGTAGCGCACTTGCCAAACGCTTCAGCAGCAAAGAGCCGTGGTGATCGTGTTAAAGGCAAGATTCAGGAATAAATTATGAGGTAATTCCACTCAAATGTGAAAGTAGGGGTAGGAAGTGGACCGCCAGTGGAGAAAAAAGAAAAAATCGTGAAATACACAGGAAATACGAGCCTTTTGCTCTACGCTGCGGAGAAGTTCAAAAGGCCGGCAGGGAGATGAGAGATAATGTGAGCGCGGAGAGCGGTAGAGAAGTCGAGTAGAGAGAGCATAGCAGATCAACGCAGACAAGATATCGAGCGGTGGGCGGAGCGTGTCGCAACAGGTGGAGCGTGTCAAAGTTCTTAGCGCCTAGCGTCTAAATAACGCTTTTCGAAGTAGGGAAGTGACGCGACCTCTACACTTGCGTACCTAGCGCTTCTAGCCACCGTAAAGGCTCATTAAGTGGGTCTGAGCCCGAACTTTGCCTTTAAAGAGATCAAACCACCCCCAACGACAAGTTTGTAGCCAATCTGAAAATGAGATCAACCTCCAAAAGACTCCTGATAGTATATGTCCCATTGCTCATTGCCACCACGAGCCAGGATCCGTGCTAGGGTGAGCAAAGATGAATTTTAACAATCAAATGGCCAAGTATCGGCTTTTGTCGTACTGTCATCAAACAAAACGGTCGCTGTTATGCAATACATTGCAAGCTACGAACGCCTGGAGTCCATATATGGTACGATGTGCTAGCCTTGAGGGACCCTGTAGCCCATGTGAACTTTCAGTGAACTTTTCGCAGTTTTGGTTTTTCCAATATTGTTAATAAAGCATAACGAGTACAGTTCCTTCTCACTGAATGAGACATCACGCGGACAAATACAGTACAGGGGGGCCAAAAAAAAGAGTCACTTTGCCTATGGCGCACATCATCAAATTTTTCTTCGCACAGGTGCCGGTTAATGAATGTTTTACGGCAGAATATTCCTTAGGTGTCCCCCCATAAGCAGAAGCAGGCCCTCCTTCACTGCCCTCACCGTCTTCAGAATATGACGTCATCTGCCGTCACCGTCGAGCTCAACGAGGCTTACCGTAATCGCTCCGGCCTGAAGCTGCTACATAATTTCTTCAATCGGTTAACTGGTGAATAGCTTCCCAGAGACACTAGCTGTGACTGTGCAAGACCGCTTTTGACCAGCGTTTCAGGGACGTCGTAATGGTCTATGGTACCTCGAGCTCGTACCGTGAACCATGTTTCCGTGGGAAAATCTTCTGATGTCGTCGGTGTAGAAGGCTGTCATGTAACTTTGATAGATTAGAATGTGCTCTTTAATATGCAATTGGGCTCATTTGGTTTGGTTTCGCAGTGAGATTAATTCCGTTTTGAATGTGGAGAGAAGTGACTCTTTTTTTGCCCCCCCCCCCCCAATTTGGAAGGGCAACACTAAGGTTACGACCAGGGTGAATATCGGTCGAGGAAATCCTCGACAGGGGGGTCGTACCTGTTGGGCTGGTCCATGGGGGTCGTACTCTTGGGGGTCAGTAACAGCAGTGGTATCGTGGTGCAGATAGGTAAGAGGGTATAGCGCAGCAGAAAATGAAAATATCTGAAAAAACATGATATTAAATTTTCTTTGCAGGTTCAGTCGCTCCATTCCTCCACCTTCATGAGAAGGGCGTATTTGAAGGCAGTACAAAGAATGAAAGTGCATCCCCGCAAAGAAGACTGCCACATGTGCGCACGCGCTGCAAAGGCACCTCCTCTGCCTATCACTCGCTCCTTCTCCCTTAATACCTCGCTGAGAATGACACTGTTGTTAGGGACCCTGTCGCAAAAACGACAACCGTGAAGAAAAAGCGCTGGGCAAATGAAGTTGTTTTTTAGGTTACAGGAATAGCACAACACACGTTTACTACAATGCAGCTTCTGTCAGACTGGTCATCATATAACAC